GTATACGCTTGTCAGTCTGTGAAATATTTGGCCGTGAAGTTTCATCTGCAACTTCCTCCTTTTGGTCTCGACACGGACTCTCAGTCTGCTTCTCTTTTCCAAATTTCCTTCTTCAGCGTCTCGGATATGATGACGCTGCATGATCTGCGCAGGTAGTCCTTGACGTACAACCACTATTGAGCCCAAAAGTCTGTCGCTAAGCAAGGCGGTTTGCCTAATTTGGCGATCTTTCTGCCACAGTCATTAAGTGAATCAACCGCAGTGGTTACATGAGCCGTGCGCTCTTTATGTCATTGGCTTCTCTTGTCAGAAGAAGACAGCTGGGAAAGTTGCTTCTCACAATAAACAAACTTCAAACAGTTTGTTTATATTTGATTGTAAGTTGAACTCTGCCTATAGTGGAGCAGAGCGAAAGGATTTTATGCCCAGAAGCCACCACCCCCCCCAAAAAAAAATTTCTGCAAACATTCCTGCAACACTTAAATCCACATTACTGTTGCTATCTGTGAAAAAAATAATAATAATGGAGTGATAGTTTGTCTTGGTAAAAGGCGGTCCATATTCAAGCCAGCTGTTTATAACCACGAGGACTAGCATTCTGATTTATTTTTTTTAATTAGTTGGCACAGGGCCTGTTTCACCTCAAACTTATTGAAATCCAGCCTAAGAGATACCCCTCTTTGGAATCATGGAAAGCTTTTGTATTTAACACAAATCGTAGTGGCTCGGGACTTGTAAACCCAGTAGTGCTGGCTTAATTCAACCAATGATGGTTTAAACAAAGTGTGGCAAAACCAAACATGGGGAAAAAACCCACTATTTTTCCCCCTTTTTCTTTCAGATCTTCTTCCTTTGCTTTTCCCATCAAGCTGGGGGCTTCATGGTAAGTTGCACATCCCAAGTGTTCTGTTTAAAAAAAAAAATCTTTCTCCAAAGAATGCCGATTAGAATCGGAATAGAGCTGGAAAGGACCTTGGAGGTCTTCTAGTCCAGCCCCATGCTTAAGCAAGAAATCTTATATCATTATCGGTCCAGTCTGTTAAAAACCTCCAGTGATGAAGTAGCTACAATATCTGGAGGCAAGATGTTCCACTGGTTAATTGTCCTCACTGTTAGTAAACTTCTCCTTAGTTCTAAGTTGCTTCTCTCGTGGATCAGTTTCCACCCGTTGCTTCTTATCCTGCCTTCCTGTTCTCATTTCCCCCTAGTCCTACTTTTCTGGAGACTGGCCAAACCCAAATCCTGCAACCGTTCTTCACATATTTTAAGTCTCCAGGCCTTTAATAATTTTACTTTAGTATTATATTATATATATATTCAATTATATATAATTCAGTCACAGATTCAACCGCTTTTCAGGCGTGGTTTAATCCAACCTCTGTCCCAAAGGTGCTTTTTTTAGGAGGCAACTGGACTTTATTTTTCTTTTGAAGACATTTTGCTTCTCATCCAAGAAGCTTCTTCAGCTCTGACTGGATGATGGAGAATGGATGGATTTATACTCCTTGCAGACAAGCTGGTCATTTGCATCCTTTTTAGAGGGCTGTGGAGGCCACTCAGAGGTTGATCTGAGTCCTCAGGGTCACCTGAGTGGTTCAAATGGATGTGGAGCCTCCTTGGAACTGTTGAAAAGACCGTGTTGTACACTGGAGATAGACGAGGTCGTATATCCCTCCCACTCTATTGAGAGAGGGGCCAAGCGGCCTTAATGACACTCTTAAAAAGATGCAAATGACCAGCTGCCCTCAAGGAGTATAAATCCTTCCATTCCCCACCATCCAGTCAGAACTGAAGAAGCTTCTTGGATGAGAAGCGAAACATCTTCAAAAGGAAAAAAAGAAGAAAGTCCAGTTGCCTCCTGAAAAAAATAGCACCTTTGGGAGACAACCAGGACCTGGAGGACTGAGAACCTCTACAAATCCAAAGCTCCAGAGACGAATAAGTCACCAGATCTTCAACGTGGGAAAAAAATCTCCTTGCCAGGAAATCTTGGTTTTTGTTTTTGTTTTTGCCTCTCTCATTCGTGACATTCGTGGTTGTAGTTCCAGCAACTTTGGGGGATTTCCCTGTGTCAAGATTGCTTTGGAGTGATTTTTCCAGTGGTTCAAATACTTCCTTTTTTCCTTTGGCTTCCAAACAATGCAAACAAAACAAGACAGAGAGGAGTGGGTGGGTGGGTGGCTTCACCCTTGCATGGGGCAGCCGAACCCTCAGCTGGTGATTTAATGGCAGGCTATTCAAAGAAGAGAGAGGCAAAAAATTCCAATGTTGCTCAAAAGTTAGGATGGAGGAAATCCCCAGGTTTTCAAGCAGGAGGCGAGGCCTGACCCGCTTAAAAAAAATTGGGCCATTGTGCATTATCTGGAGAAGGAGACTCGCAGCCGAGGCCTCTTACAACTGAATGTGTGGGTTTTTTTAAAAAAAAAATCTCTCGAGGGGAAATTGGTTCCTTTTTATTTAATTTTGTCTCTCCCCTTAATTTCCCCCTCCCCAAACTCCAAATTTTATCTACCTCCTCCTGTACGTTGGGGGGGAAGTTGGAGACGATGAGGGAGTTGCTAACTTGATTTTACAACATTTTTTGCCCATGGTTGCTAAGCGAATCGCTATTATTAAGTGAATCATGCAGTGTGTTGGCCTGGGAAAGGGGTTGCCTTCTACAGTATTAATACTTCGTTCTCTTTCTCCCTCCCTCCCTCCCTTCCTTCCTTCCTTCCTTCCTTCCCATTCTTTCTTTGCTTCTTTCTTTTCCTTCTTTCCCTGTTTTCCTTGCTTCTCTTTCTCTTTTCCTATCTTTTCTTTCTTTTCCTTGCTTCTTTCTTTTTTTTTCCTATCTTCTTTCTTTCTCTTTCCTATCTTCTTTCTCTTTTCCTATCTTTCTCTTTTCCTATCTTCTTTCTCTTTTCCTTCTTTCTTTCTCTTTCCTATCTTTCTCTTTTCCTTCTTTCTTTCTCTTTCCTATCTTCTTTCTTTCTCTTTCCTATCTTCTTTCTCTTTTCCTTCTTTCTTTCTTTCTCTTTCCTATCTTCTTTCTTTCTCTTTCCTATCTTCTTTCTCTTTTCCTTCTTTCTTTTTCTTTTCCTATCTTCTTTCTTTCTCTTTCCTATCTTCTTTCTTTTCCTTCTTTCTCTTTTCCTTGCTTCATACTTTCCTTTTTTCCTTCCTTCCCTCCTCTCTCCCTTTCCCCCTACTTTCTCAATTCTCTTTTCCTTTCTTCCCTTTCCTTTCCTCCTCTGTTCTCTTTCCTTCTTCCTTCTCGTTGGCTTCTTTTCCCGTCCTCCTTGGCTCCTTCCCTCAAGAACCCACCCCCAGCAGCACACCCATGGTGGAAATCATCGAGCAGCCCAAACAGCGTGGGATGCGCTTCCGTTACCAGTGTGAGGGCCGCTTGGCTGGCTCCATCCCGGGAGAACGCAGCACTGACACCACCAAGACGCACCCCACCATCAAGGTCAGCCTTCCCTGCTCCCCTTCCTCACCTGCCCGGAAAAGAAAACCCCCCCCCATTTCCCAGAAGCCTTTGCAACTGGGTCGCTTTTAAAATCCGAATGCCATCCCGGCCAAAGGAAAACTTGGTGTGATGTCACAGCACGTTTGCCACGAAGACAGGGATGGTGGAGCCTTCCTGGGCAGCCTTTCTGCCATCCAGCTGGGTGGAAAAGTTACACCCGGACGTGCTAACTCTGATGGGCAGCCATTTTGCGAATGCGCCCCCACGAAACCAAACTGTTCCTTCCCCAAACTGTGATGACCCAAAAGGGCGTGGCACAAAGGCAACCCAGTCAGATAATCAGGAGGAGTCCCTTTATTAGCTTCCACTTTGCCCCCAATGTCCTGGTTACCTTCTGGGCTGGAGAAAAACTCCCAGGAGCAGCCTTTGGCTGCAGGGAATCAAGTCCAAAATGTGGTCAATAAAAAGTGGAACTATAAGTCCAATCAAGGGAAAATGAGGTCATTAGTCCAACAGGGCAGGAGAAGGAATTCCAGACGTGAATGAATGGCAGTAATTCAACCCGGTTGGGAGGACGCCAGGAACATAGATAACTAAACTCTCTTCCCAGCTGTGGCTAATGAAGGGATTCAGGGCCCTTTCCTCCCCCATAAACCACACAACCCACGTTGCTCCCTTCTCCGTTCCTCTCTGCGTGCCCTAGGATGAAGAGGGGGTGGGCCTGGATCTTCCTCTGAATTCCCTCCCCCTCGTTTTACCTCTCCCCTGCTCTGCCCAGCTGGACTTTGCCCTTCCCGTTTCCTTCACAGCCAATGGAGCCACACTCCCACTCCCTGTGTCAGCTGTTCGTCTTCCTCCTCAGATTCAGACTCCGACAGGGGCATGACAAACAGAGAGGAGCCGTTTGGCTGCCCCGTGTCCCAACTCTTTCCCCTCTTTTGCCCCCCAGATTCACAATTACCAGGGCCCGGGGAAGGTCCGCATCTCCCTGGTAACCAAGGAAGCCCCACATCGGCCTCACCCCCACGACCTGGTGGGCAAGGATTGCAAAGAAGGCTATTACGAAGCCGAGTTGTCTCCAGAGCGCTCCATTCACAGGTGAGTCCGGGTATTGGGAGGTAGAAATCGCAAGGACATCGCTTCTTGGCCTCTTTTCCTCCCCGGGTCAAGGCACTCAATGCCTGCCTTTGTCCCCAGCTTCCAGAACCTGGGAATCCAGTGTGTACGGAAACGGGATCTGGAAAAGGCCGTGGCAAAGCGGATCGAGACCGGGAACAATCCGTTCAACAGTAAGGAAGGCTGAACCTTGCATGGTTGTGTGTGTGTGTAATTGCCATAAAAATGTGTAAAAATGCTTTGTAGCAATCTTGGGCTCAGAGTAATATTTTTCATAACTTTCTTTTCCAAGAGGAGCTGTCAGGCATCAGTTAAATCCGGCTATTTTTTCTCCCTAACTGCTCTATTAACTAAAGCGGCTGATTTTCGCGTTATACAAGGTGGTCCTCGACTTAATGACCACAACTGGGGACAGGACTTCCAAGGGCTAAGCAAGAGTTAAGTGAGACGTGGCCAATTCTACCTTAAGTCAATTTTTTTCAGGGGATATGTTGTAAGTTTGAACAGTGACTAAATGAACTGTTGTTGAGTCAAGGACTTCCTGTACTTTGCCTGAGCTGTATTTTCTTAGCTGTATTTTATATTTGCCTTTTTTTTTCCCCCCGGAGGGCTCATTGGTAAAACACCTATTTAATCCGCCCAATAACCATCCTACTGTCAACTCATAAAATACTTCTCTGGTCTTTTTAGAGTTGCCGACAGAAAAGGAGGGGGGAAAGCGGCAGCTTGGAAATCGAAAGTGCATTCCATAAATGTTTTCAGAGATAGTAACTAGGTGACTGAAGTTTCTGCCGGGCAAAATTCTAACTGGAGAGCTTGATGGATGACACTTGGCTATGGATGTGTCCCATTGGAGAATATGAATTAGGATACACCGAGGGGGGGGGAGAACCAGGGTCAAGGATGACAATGAATGATGTGCCTCAGGGTCGGCTACATCCAGGCAGTGCCGGACATGTTAACTCCCAATAAATCCTTTTGAAGTTTTGGAAGTTTGGCTCGAGACTCGTGATTTAATTGGGGTTAAGTGTTGGAATCCTGACATCTCTATCTTGGGCTGGGAGGAGGAGACAGGTGTTGTCCCTGCAATCTTTCAGTGGGCTCCATGGGGACTCGACCCTTGAAGTCCCTACCTCCCAATTCAAGAGTCGACAGCTTTTAATTCTCTAATGGTCTTCTAAATCCCTTGATGTTTTCCTTTCTTTTTTCCTTTCCTCTTCCTCAGTGCCGATGGAGGAGCTCAAAGGAGATTACGACCTGAATGCAGTTCGACTCTGTTTCCAGGTCTGGATTCGGGATACGGGCACGGGGCACGTGATGCAGCTCCCTCTGGTGGTCTCCCAACCGATCTATGACAATCGTGAGTATTTGGCCAGAACCCTTGGTGTCAAACTTAAGGCCTGAGGCCGGATCCGGCCCAAGGGGTGCTTAGATCTGGCCCGCAGCTCCGCCAGCGAAGGACTGGTCCCGTAGTGCCTCTGCCAGCGGAAACAGAGCTCAGCGGGGCCCTGAGGGCTAGCAAAACAAGCTCAAAACAAAACAAAAAGGAGAAATGTTTCCCCTTTTGCATTTGAGCGTGCAAGGAGGGACAGGAAAGGAGAAAGGGAAAGAGGAAAAGGCAAAGAAAAAGAAG